CGCATTTGATTCTTGATTCATTGCTTGGGCACGATTCAAGCTGCTGGTGCGATTCAGTGGTTCACGTGTCGAGATCGCAATCACGAATCAGAAGTCTTGAGTCTCAGTCACAGTCAAAGTCAAAGTGTTGAGTTGGATTTTTGATTTTTGATGTTTGATTTGATTCGGATACTGTGGGCATAGGCCATGACAATACAGCACGTGATCAGATGTGTTTTGATGACGCGCGCGCACATCGTGACGTTATGAAGGCCGTGCGTGGTGACCTTGGCCAAGGAACAAGTGAGGTGTCTGTCTGTCTGCTCCTTCAAAGTTCTTTGATAGCGAGCGACTCCCGATGCAACGACAACACTTGCAAAAATCCGGTTGACTCCACGGGGATGCGGTTATCGTAGCGCACCTCTGCTTGTCTGCCATACAAGCACCCGACAACAGGCCTACTCTGTGCCCAGAGTGCGCGCATCCACGATCACCATCATGCCCCCCACCCGGCGTCGAGCCTCTCAAGCTCGCAACTCGGCTTCGAGCGCGTCCAGCTTGGCCATCAACCTGCCCTCGAGGCGACTGCACATTGCGAATAACTCGCAACAACAACCACAACCAGCTGCTTCGCTACACAACGCGGACTCGTATGAAGCACGAAGTGATCAAGCGCTTGCTGCGCCTTCGGGCAGCCAGGGACAAGATGTCGGCGACGTCGAGTCGACCGAGCACGTCTCTCTGAGCTTGTCCAGCGAGGTGCATCCCACCAGCTTACACGCTTCTTGGCAGACGGACGCCGCTTCGCAAGGCAGAATGCTTCCGCCACCCGACTTTGCCTTTATCACGCCAGAGATGATCTCTGCTAGGGGTGTGGGTGCAAGAGCAAGGGCATCGCAGCACGCCTTCGGATCTGCGCATCCAGCTCATCCTCCTGCCGCCCGCGCACCTCCTCGGATGCTGAATCGCCATGCTCGACCCCGTACAAGCTCCGCGTCGCAAGCCGGCATGACGCAAGATTCGAGCCTCGAACTCTCACATCTCCAAGCCATGAGACCCCCGGACATGGACTTCTTCTCTCGACCCGCCGCACCGCCTACCGAAGCTGCGAGCAGGGGCACGCGAGCGCGCTCAGCTCAACCAAGCACGAATCGTCGACAATCGGGGATGATCTCCGAAGAGCCTTCCACCAGCCTTCGAAGCTTACGAGGAGTCACAGCCAGTCCTGGCAGCCTTGTTCGTCCGGCTGATTCTTCTCGCGACCTCGACGCGTCTCGATTGTCGAGCATGGCACCGGGCCAAGCTACTGGCTCGCTCGCCTCGCCCAATCTAGAGGAGAGCGAGTTGGATAACGAAGCGAGCTTGGCATCAGACCCGAGACCTTTCAGAGAAGACCCTGGACGAACGGCTCGGTTACATTTGGGTCTTGAAGCTGCCTATCCTCGCTCACGTCGTGTGGTGGGAAAGACACCGGCAGAAGATAGGGCATCCATCTTTGCTCTTCCCCTCGACCCGTATCATGCTTCAGCATCACACGCGGAAAGCAGCTCAACTAGGTTTCCTGCACCTCATCTGCCTCCCGGCGCATTCATGGAAGCTCGCAATGAGCT